GATCGCGGTGTTTTCTGTGACGGTCTTGAGGGATGAGCGGATCGTGGTTGTGGCTGAGCAGAGACCTGACGCCACTGAGGAGGACAGCTTCCAGTGGATGAGCCGCGTTCTACAGGTTGGTTTCATTCTAACACCAAACACCACATCACTCAGGTCCAACGATCCAACAGAAAGTTATTTATTTATTTTTTATTTTTTTACCGTGTCCTGTCTGGCTGTGAAACAAACAGAATGGATGTCTGAATGCTGGTGACAAGCCTTACAGATTTACTCTCAGGTGGAGCATCAAAGCGTCTGCTTTAAATGTCACGCCTGATACTTAAAACTTTATTGTTATTGTTTTTGAATGCTTTTTAATTCCAACCAGACACGGAGTCAGAGGTGAAAGAGAAAGGAATGGGCCATTCCCATCTGTACCGGGTTGGCCCGGGCCGGGTAGCGTAGGTTGTTTACATATCTGGGTGGCCTGGTATTTTTCCGGGCCAACCAAGGCTCATTCTCAGCCCTCTTCTCGAGGGGGTCTGCTTCAGGCCGACCAGGGCCAACACACCCACTGCTGACAGCAAATTCACACCTTCCATTAGAGCAAGCCTCTGATTGGTGGGTAGAATCAGCCCACATGGGCTTAAGACAAGGATGTGTGGAATCAACCGGGCCAAGCTGGGGCCGACTGGGGCTACCCGGCCCGGGCCGACCCGGTACAGATGGGAGTGGCCCAGAAGAGACAAAAGGTGTGTGTGTGTGTGTGTGTGGGGGGGGGGGGGGGGGGGGGGGGTTCCACAAAAATAAACAATAATTAACAAGAATCTGCTTCTAGACCTGCAGAAAGAGACAAGAAAAAAAGAAAAAAAACAATGAAAAAATATAAAAATGGGACACAACAATACAACAAGATCAAGCTATCACTGCGTCAACTTGATGAAGAAATATAAGTTCAACATTGTTTAACTGAACAATCACACGATAATAAATCACAGTGCATTTAGTGGCAACGACAGCCTTAAGACATGTGTTGAACGTGCCCAAGTCCATACTTATGTGAGCACCTGTGTGTGTACACACGCTTGTTTATGTAAGGTTTCTCTATAGGAGCGTCCAATAGGGAGTGTGAGGGGCCACAGACAGAGGAGGACTGGATCTACCCAACTTTTATTATTATTTCTTAGCCAACAGGCTGCAATATATACCAAGATGGTTGCAAGATAACCCACTAGACGAGTCCTGGTTAGATATAGAACAGACACTTTGCAATACGATAGAGCTTTCAGACTTACCATTTATTAGCTCAAGCATAAGGAAACATGAAGGCTTCAAAAGCATTTGTATCAGCACCTCTCTGGCAGCATGGTGGGAGTATCTAAAAATGACAGAGTCTTCACTAGTACCATGCAGACGCACACCTATCTGGAACAATCCTGATATTTTGCAAAATAATAAAATGATGAACCTTCTGGACTGGAAAAACAAAGGAATCCTATACCTGGAACACATATATGAAGGATTGGACTTCATCCCATTTAATAGAATAGTCTCCCAATTTGGAATAGATAAAAATAGCTTTTTAGAATATCACCAAATTAAATCTGTAGTCAAACAAAAATTTAAGCTAAATAAAATAGAATTACAAACACCACCAAGGGTATTAGACTTCTATAATCTCAACCCCCCAAACTACTGTCTAAAGTATATAAGACACTGTCCAAAATAGACGATAGAATAGCAATCCCTATTGAAAAATGGGAGGTGGATCTATCAATCAGCTTTGACCAGAACTTCTGGTCCCAAACTTGTTTAAAAACTTTTAAAATGAACAAAAAGTTATTTATAAAGTTTTTATTGTTTTTCAGGGAAATCTTAGAAACTGAAAATAAAATCCACCGCGTGTCCATAAATCCTGGTTTAAGGTTTCTGTTTGGGTTTTCTGCTCCAGGCCATAGACAGCATCCATGGAGTGGGAATCTTCTGTCTGGCTCTGGTTCCGGCCAACACCCTTCCCAAGACTCCCCTGGGGGGGATCCACCTCTCGGAGATCAAACAGCTGTACCTGGAGGGGGGGCTGCATCCCTGTAACGTCCTGATGTGTCCCCACACCTGTGTCACCAACCTGCCCAAGCCACGGCAGAAACAGCCAGGTGAAGGCGGGTTTTACAGCTCAGAGCTGCTTGGGTCCGGTTCTGGGTCTGGGTCTGGTTCTGGTTCTGGGTCGGTGTTCTGACTTGGTTTGTGTCTGCGTGCCACAGAGATCGGACCCGCCTCTGTGATGGTGGGGAATCTGGTGTCGGGGAAGAGAATCGCTCAGGCCAGTGGCCGAGACCTGGGTCAGACCGACGACAACGACCAGGTGATACACACACACACACACACACACACACACACACACACACACGTGCACACACACACACGTGCACACACACACACGCACACACACACACGCACACACACACACACACACACACGCGCACACACACACACACGTGCACACACACACGCACACACACACACACACACACACACACACACACACAGGTGAAAATAGATAACTGATGGGACAAATTTAGTGTTTATAATTTGATTAAAGCTGATCGACGGAACAGAAAACAAAGTGTTGAGTTTTCTTTAGATTTTCTGAACAAACTGAAGGTCAGGAATGTTTCTCTTTAGTTGCTGATTGGAAGTTTGACTTTTGAGTCCAACAGCTCAGCTAATGATCCCGACTTCATTAAAACGTGCTGTTGATTTACAATCATAACGCAGCAACGGCCCGTAGATACTTTCTGCAGCCCGAGGGCTCCGAGTTCAGTTTCATCCTTCTCTCAAACTTCACAGCCTGATTATTGATTAAAGCCAGAAGGCTGAGTCAGCAATAAAAACAAATCAGCTGGTGAGTAAGCACAAACGGACTCAGGACCACCCTGCTGTCTGATCTCAACCAGGAGTTTTGTCTCTGTCACTCACTCTGGTTCTGAAACATTTAGATGTATGGCGTGTTGTGGCGTGGCGTGTTGTGGCGTGGCGTGTTGTGGCGTGGCGTGTTGTGGCGTGGCGTGGCGTGGCGTGTTGTGGCGTGGCGTGTTGTGGCGTGGCGTGGCGTGTTGTGGCGTGGCGTGTTGTGGCGTGGCGTGGCGTGTTGTGTTGTGGTGTGGCGTGGCGTGTTGTGGCGTGGCGTGGCGTGTTGTGGCGTGGCGTGGCGTGTTGTGGCATGGCGTGGCGTGTTGTGGCGTGGCGTGTTGTGGCGTGGCGTGTTGTGGCGTGGCGTGGCGTGTTGTGGCGTGGCGTGGCGTGTTGTGTTGTGGTGTGGCGTGGCGTGTTGTGGCGTGGCGTGGCGTGTTGTGGCGTGTTGTGGCGTGGCGTGGCGTGGCGTGGCGTGTTGTGGCGTGGCGTGGCGTGGCGTTCCATCAGTGGATGGAAGTTTCAGCTTCATGAATAAAATCTGCTTCTGTTCTTTTCTAGTTTTTGTTTCTGTCAGAGATTTTGCAGTGGAGAGCTCAGACCACACCGGACCACGTCCTCTACACACTCCTCAGCTCTCGGGTAAATGCGCACACACACACACACGCACACACACCGCTAGGTTTTGTTCTACCAGCTTCATAAGAGCCGCAGTTCTTCTGATGGTGTTAAGTATCCATCCTTCTCCTGTCGTTCCTCTAGGGGGCGGTGTCCAACTCCCTCACCTGCCTACAGCTGCATAAGAGGGCAGAGCGAGTGGCGGCTCTGCTGATGGAGAGAGGAGGTCTGCAGGAAGGAGACCACGTCGCTTTGGTCTACCCACCAGGTCACAGATGATCTTCAGATGTTCACGGCTTTGAGCAGAAGTCCTGATCTGCTCCTCACGTCTCTAGAACATTAGAGGAAATCTAAAGACGTGAGGAGTGGATCAGCGGCGTTCCAGCAGAGATGAATGACTTGCGCCTGTCTCCATCTGCGTCCTGCAGGTATCGACCTGATTGCAGCGTTCTACGGTTGTCTGTACGCCGGCTGTGTTCCCATCACGGTGCGACCGCCTCACCCTCAGAACATCTCCACCACACTGCCCACCGTCAAGATGATCGTCGAGGTGGAGCTCTGATTCTGTTTTCTGTAAAATCAGCTGATCGGTGGCTGCTGAAGCGGCAGTTTGGGTTTTTATTGTGTGTAAATAAAAAAACCACAGAAGAAGAAACAAAGTAGAATTTTGTTTCTGCAGGTCAGCCACTCCTCCTGCGTGATGACCACGGCGGTCATCTGTAAGCTGCTGCGCTCCAAGGAGGCCATGGCCACTGTGGACATCAGGAACTGGCCTCCGGTTCTGGACACCGGTACTGTTAGAACCCAGATGTTCTGGGATCCGCTCACAGCTGGTACATAAACGTATTTTTTATCTCCAGATGATCTTCCTAAGAAGAAGCCTCCAGCTCTCTACAAACCCACCAACCCCGACGGCCTGGCCTACCTGGACTTCAGCGTGTCCACAACCGGAATGCTGGCCGGAGTTCAGGTCCGCTCCATCCTCAGCTCCACCCCCTCACCCACCAGACAGGAAGCCTCCAGTCCGAACACAAAACCACTTCCTGTTTCTCAAACGTCTAAAAGCTTCCATGTTGTTTGTGTCCGTCCCTCCAGATGTCCCATAATGCAGTGGGAGCCTTCTGTCGCTCGGTGAAGCTGCAGTGTGAGCTGTACCCGTCCAGAGAGGTGGCCATCTGTCTGGACCCGTACTGCGGCCTGGGCTTCGTCCTCTGGTGTCTCTGCAGGTCCCAGCACCTCCTCGTCTTTATTTATGTGTTGCTGTTGGACACTTCCTGTTAACGCTCCAGAATCACAAATCTACGCTCATAAAAATGTCTTTAATCTGAGATTTTATTCTGGGGGTCCATCAGCTGTGGTCTGTCCCGCTGAAACCATGTCCCTGTGTTGTCTGCAGCGTTTATTCTGGACACCAGTCCATCCTGATCCCTCCGGTGGAGCTGGAGTCCAACCCTGCGCTCTGGCTGCTGGCCGTCAGCCAGCTGAGGGTGCGGGACACGTTCTGCTCCTACAGCGTCATGGAGCTCTGCACCAAAGGACTCGGTCTGCAGACTGAAGCGCTCAAGGTCAGCCTGGTGCCACGACTCGTTTAGGTCCGTTTTACTGGAGGTTCTGGTTCTGAGTCTGGTTTCTGACTGGGTAGGAACTGGGCAGACAGACACTTTAATGTCTAAATCACTAAGCTGGTGTGGGTTCAGAAGCAGAGAAATCAAAAAGTACAGAAACATTTAGTTTCATTTTATTTGATTTATTCTGTTCCCAGTTTCTCCAGTTCCCAGTAACTGGGAAGAGCTCCGGCTTCTCTGACCACTCTGAAAATTGTCTGAGAGAATGTTTGTCTTTTCTAACGTGGTCAGACTTCCAGCAGCAAAGACGAGACTCGCGAGGACTAAAGGGACGTTCTGGAAGTTCCTTCAGGAACGTTGTCCCAACCGTCCCAGTCCAGAGACATTCTGTCCCAACCGTCCCAGTCCAGAGACATCCTGTCCCAACCGTCCCAGTCCAGAGACATCCTGTCCCAACCGTCCCAGTCCAGAGACATCCTGTCCCAACCGTCCCAGTCCAGAGACATTCTGTCCCAACCGTCCCAGTCCAGAGACATCCTGTCCCAACCATCCCAGTCCAGAGACATCCTGTCCCAACCGTCCCAGTCCAGAGACATCCTGTCCCAACCATCCCAGTCCAGAGACATCCTGTCCCAAACAGCCAACGTAAAAGCTTCAATATTTTCACAGATTTTATATTTTTTTAAACTGTATTTATTACTAAAACTCAGTTTAACTAAATTTTTTTCAACTTCATTTTAATTTACGAAAAACAAACTCAGTTTTCTCAGAAATCAGTTTTTACTTTAAACACAAAAAATGTATATTATATTATATTATTTTACATTATATTATATAATAATTTGTTATATTATAATATAATTATTTATATTATAATATATGATATATTATAATATATAATTTAATATTATATTATATCATTTTATATAATATATAATAATTTGTTATATTATATTATAATTTTTATATTATATTACATTATTTTATAATATTGTCGTCGACTTCCTCCGCTTATCCGGGTCCGGGTCGCGGGGGCAGCATCCCAACTAGGGAGCTCCAGGCCGTCCTCTCCCCGGCCACCTCCACCAGCTCCTCCGGCAGGACTCCAAGGCGTTCCCGGACCAGATTGGAGATGTAACCTCTCCAACGTGTCCTGGGTCGACCCGGGGTCCTCCTGCCGGCAGGACATGCCCGAAACACCTCCCCAGGGAGGCGTCCATGAGGCATCCTGACCAGATGCCCAAACCACCTCAACTGGTTCCTTTCAATCCGGAGGAGCAGCGGTTCTACTCCGAGTCCCTCCCGAATGTCCGAGCTCCTCACCCTATCTCGTGGAAAAGATCTTATCAATCGCATTGAATGACCATTTAATTAAATCCATTTCTAAAAAAAAAAAAAAAAAAGGGAATCCCAGAAGAAATGCAAAGAAGCGCTCTGTAGGCAGACGGGACAAAGGGCCTTGGGGAAAAAGATAAGGGAGCAAAAAGGGAAGCGACTGTACTCTGTGAGTGCCAGAAGAGAATTATATTATATTATAATTTGTTATATTATATTATATTATATACATTAATATTTATTATATTATATTTTTTTATATTATATTATAATATAATTTTTTTATATTATATGATATTATATATTTTGTATGAATTTTATATTATAATAAATTATATTATAATTTTTATATTATATGTTATATATTTTATTATAATGTTTTATATTATATTAAATAATATTAAAAAAAAGTATCTTATATTATATAATATTACAATTTTTAATATTATATTATATAATAATTTTATATGATATATAATTGTATATAATATTATATTGTATAATTTAATATAATATTCTAATTTTTTATGTTATATGATATTATATTATTTATATATTTATAATATAATATTATTTATTATATCATTCATATATTTTGATATTATATAATTTTATATTATAATTTGTTATATTATATAATATAAATTAAAATTATATTATAATTTTTTATATGATATTATATAATTTTATATTATATTATATTATATATTTTACGTAATTTTATAATATATTTTTATAATATTGTATATTATATTATTTTATATAATATATTATAATTTTTTATATGAAAATATATGATATAATTTGATATAATATAATATTATATAGTTTTATGTCAAATTTTATTATATTGTAATTTTTTATATTATATTATATTTTTTATATAATATTATAATTGTTTATGTTATGCTATATTAAATTATTTATATTATATGACTTTTTATATTATATATATATTAATATTTGATATTTATTTTAGATTTATTTTTTTATCTACGTGTTACAGAGATTCACCTTTATGAACACAAAACTAGGATGTAAAGTTTAATAAGAGTTTACATAAAACACCCATCTGTTGTTTAGTCTGCTGGTTCTGGACTCAGTCGGACTCAGATCCGCACCGGTCCCGCTGTCCAGCTGCAGGCAGGTTTGTCTCTGTGAGGACGACTGACAGGTGGACGGTTGGACGGCGGTGTGAGTGACCCTATCCGCCTCCGGCTCTGCAGTAATAAACCTCCTCGTCTGCTGGACTCTGATTGGTCCCTGATGGACGCCACACAGTTAATTTTAGTGATTATCTGTCTTTAAGTCTCCATGGAGACTGGGGTGCTGAAGATGGGCGAGGAGGAGGAATGGTTTTTATTTCTGGATTTCTCTCATAAAACATTTTCCTTCAGAAGAAAAACGGAGAATGGAGATTTTTATTCCCTCGTTTCTTCATCAGAACCAGTCAGATCTGGACTGTAAACTCTAAACCTCCATGTTTACTAAACAGGAGCACAGGTAAATCTACCTGACCAGGTGTCTCTCTGTCCCAGGCTCGAGGTCTGGACCTGTCCCGGGTCCGGGCCTGCGTTGTGGTGGCGGAGGAGAGGCCCAGGATGGCGCTCACACACTCCTTCTCTAAGCTCTTCAAAGACCTGGGTCTCCACCCGCGCTCCGTCAGCACCGCCTTCGGCTGCAGAGTCAACCTGGCCATCTGCCTGCAGGTACGGTGATGTCATAGACACGCCGCCATGGAAACAGCATCACACTACAAAAGTCTCACTGTTGGCCCTCCAGAGCCACCGTACGTGGAAACATTCTCCTAAACTGTTTGTGAGGAAGAACCCAGGTGCTTTAAACTAGAGAAGAACCCTGGAACCAGAACCGTAGAACCAGAACCGTAGTCGAGTCAGACACGTTTAGTCTGCAGGTCTGGGATGATGACAAGCCTCGTTTCTTCTGATTCCTAAAACCCGTCTGTGATTGGCTACAGGGCACATCTGGACCGGACCCGACCACGGTCTACGTGGACATGAGGGCGTTGCGCCACGACAGGTACTACCCCCCCCACACACACACACACACACACCCGTCTATCTGCTCTGCTCGCCGCTCTGGAGGTTTAACCCGTAAACGTGTGTGTCCTTCAGGGTTCGGCTGGTCGAGAGAGGTTCTCCTCACAGTCTGCCTCTGATGGAGTCGGGGAAGGTGAGTGGGTCAAAGGTCATCCTAAGACCTCAGATCATCAGGAGAAGTTTCAGATAGAGACAACAGATCGGAGACGTTCTGGGTTTATTTCTGCTGCTGGTCCTCCCACGGTGGTGAGTCAGAACCTGCAGCGGGTCTGAGATGCTCCTCCTCCTCCCTCTGCTGCCGTTGCTGTGGATTCCCCCCCCCCCCTCAGGAGACCAGAGTCTAGAAACGTCCCGTTATTTTTAGATGTTCTGATGGGCCCGTTTGTTTGGGTCCGTTTTGCTTCCTCTTGTGTGATGATGCACAAACCTCAACAGAACCATTTTGTTTGTGTTGAGTTAGAAACAACAAAGATGTCAGCTGTTTACTCAGAACCTGTTTGGGTTTCTCCAGATCCTGCCGGGGGTTCGGATCATCATCGCCAACCCAGAGACCAAAGGACCGCTGGGAGACTCGCATCTCGGAGAGGTGGGCCGGAACCAGCAGGCTTCCTGTTTTATTCCTGAACCGTGTTTGAGTTTTACGCGTTTTGTGCTGCTGCTGCAGATCTGGGTCCACAGCGCCCACAACGGCAGCGGCTACTACAGCGGCTACGGAGAGGAGGTCCTGCAGTCGGACCACTTCAACTCCAGACTCAGCTTCGGAGACACACAGACGGTCTGGGCTCGGACCGGGTACCTGGGCTTCCTGCGCCGCACCGAGCTCACCGACGCTAACGGAGGTGAGAGCCGGTCCTCCACTTCCTGTTCCTCCTGGATCAGCGTTCAGCAGGTCTGACTGTGTGTGTGTGTGCGTGCGTGTGTGTGTGTGTGTGTGTGTGCATGTGTGTGTGCGTGTGTGTGTGTGTGTGTGTGTGTGAACAGAGAGACATGATGCTCTGTTCGTGGTGGGAGCTCTGGAGGAGGCCATGGAGCTGCGGGGGATGAGATACCATCCCATCGACATCGAGACCTCCGTCATCCGCGCTCACAAGAGCATCATGGAGTGGTGAGTCCTCCCAGCAGAGCCGAGGTTCTGGTTTTTCCCTCTGTCGTGGTTCTGTTGGACCCGGTAACGATTTCTGGGGTTTTGTCTCCATCAGCGCCGTCTTCACCTGGACTAACCTGCTGGTGGTGGTGGTGGAGCTGGAGGGCTCCGAGCAGGAGGCACTGGACCTGGTTCCCATGGTGACCAAAGCCGTGCTGGAGGAGCACTACCTGATTGTTGGCGTTGTCGTGGTGACCGACATCGGCGTCATCCCTATCAACTCACGCGGCGAGAAGCAGCGAATGCACCTGCGTGACGGCTTCTTGCAAGACCAGCTAGACCCCATCTACGTGGCCTACAACATGTAGTGTGTGTGTGTGTGTGTGTGTGCGCGCGCTCATCGCTGTTGTTTCCCACATATCAACATGTACTGTATCCCCGACCCGCGTTCTCTGTGCTGCACTCATCTGGTTTCTTTAGCTTCGTTTGGGTCGGTCAGTTCTGCTCGCCGGCCGACTGACCGACCATCACTCAGTGGTGCTGTGACCCGGTTTGACCCCCGCTCCATCTCCTGACCGTTAGGAAGCCTTAGAGGAACACTGTGTTTGGGGCGGCGCCGCCCACCGGCGGGAGGTTCTGAAGCAGACCCGTCTTTGTGTTCTGGTCGGGTGGGACGTTTTTGTTCCCTTCAGAACTTTAGGAGCGTCCAGATTATTGTAAAAATATAAATAATGTAAATAAACATAATAATCTATATGGAGAGGAACTAAAACACTGAGGTGTAGTCGCCCCTTTATGCAGCCCTCTCCACCCGCACCCCGAGCGTGTGTGTGTGTGTGTGTGTGTGTGTGTGTGTGTGTGTGTGTGTGTGTGTGTGTGTGTGTGTGATCAGAGGAAATCGTCTGATCTGCAGGATGAGAAGGTCTGAACCGTCTCCTGACTCTGACTTTGAGACTCTTGCGGACGGCGGAGGTCCAGACCTGGTCTGTGGGGAGATTTAGTTCAGCTTCCGGTTTGTTTGTTTCCCACCAGTTTAACCCGTCGCTCAGTTCGTTTATTTCATTCTTAACTCATGAATTTGAGTCTTAAAGCACCAAATGGAGCAAAGTGCACTGTGTGAATATAAAGATTTATGACATTATCAATATTTAAATGGGGTTTAACAGCATCCAGATGTTTCTGCAGATGTGGGGCTATCATAGAAGATGACTGAATTGATGTTGATCCAAAAATATGACGTTATTTAAACAGGAAGTGAGTTTCAGTTCTGAAACCTGGGAGTCGGGTTGAGAACCAACATAAAAAACACTGCAGATGTTTTTCTGACTGCAAAAACATCTGGAAGGCGTCGGAGGAGGAGGAGGAAAACAAAGTTTATATGAAAGCAGATCCTGTTGTAGCAATAATCCTCCACAGGATGTTCTCTACTGCTGCAGATTCACGAAACTGATCCCAGATCATCTGCTGGGTTTTCTAGTACGGCATCCCATAATAAGCAGCTCAAACCGTCCAGTCGTTCTTCAGGATGTAGCTTCATCTTTTCCTATTTTAGATCTGAAAATGAATCAAATCAACAGAGTGTTACTACGGTGGCCTAAAAGGGACAGACAGCCCTAGTGGTTGCTGTTTATGATGTGTGCCAGCAGAGGGCGCCACCGACCCACAAGTAGGACCTTTAGGGGTTTAGAAAAGGTCTTCCAGAGCTTTTGTGTTAAATAATAATTAGATTTGGTCAAATTTCTGTTCTTAGCTGAAATTTAGATCAGATTAAGGTTTTAAGTCAGACTCATATGATGAAATCTGCCTTTAATCAACGACTAAACATCAAATCTAATCAAACATGAGAGCTTTCATGTTTCTGATGTTATTTTTACTGATAAAAATCAAAGTTTTTACCCAAAAATATAAGAAACGCAGTTTTTCAGCTCAAGTTTAACACTTTATAAACTCAACAGGTCTGAAGCATCTCAGTATTGACTTTCGTCAGCTGGTGTGAGTTTATGGATCCTGGTGAAGAACGTCCTCTGAGCTTCAGACCGCTGAGGAGTTCTGACTCACCTTTAAAAAACAGAAATATATCAGAGTTTATGGTTCATCGCTGCTGGTTCTGAAGCTTTTGGCTCGGTGTCGTTTGGATGGATTTAACGCCTGCAGGAGGACCGAGTGTGACGTTCTGTTTACTTCCTGTTTTTCAACTGAAGAACTTTTATGCATATCAGAACCGGCTCAGCGCTGGTTTGGGTTTGCTGGTACCAGCTGATCCCTGAATGTGGATCCCATCAGAACCCCGGAGGAACAGGAGAGAGGCTGCATGGTGTGTGTGTGTGTGTGTGTGAGTGTCGTATGTAAATAGTGTTGATTTTGTACGGTACACACGTGTGTGTGTGTGTGTGTGTGTGATCTGTTTTGTACACCTGATGAAAAGATGAAAGACACTTTTATAAGAGCCCGGTTCCGGCTCCCCGTCACACTATAACAGTGCAATAAAGTGCTTTGATTGGCTAAAACTCCTGACTGGTCCGCCTTGTTCCTGTGTCAGAGGGAAACATCAGAACAAACTTTCAGGTTCTGCAGAAGATCATTTAGAGGAATAAGAACATCCCATCTGGCTCATCCCTTGGGTTATGGAGAGCTTTTTACTTCAGAACGATTCAGGCAAAAAGTGTAAACAACAAAACACTTTTATCTGAAATGTTTCGTGGCATGGAAGTCTTCTGGAAAACTCCAGAAGACCTCCAGAACATCTGGAGAACTCAAACCACCTTAAAAACACTACTAGCCGTTAGCTCGTCAGTCCAGGACGTGAACTCTTTCTCTGAACTGAGGCTGTTCAGGAAGCTGAGCTGGATTTGTTTCCCACTTTTAAATAAAAACACTAATTAATGATCTTTACAACTTAACACAGATTTTATACATGAATGAAAATTCACTTAATTATTAATTTAGCTCATTAAGCCCATTAGCTACCTGTCCTACCTGCTGCGTCCACATGGGGTCGCTGTTGTAATGAAGCCACGCAGCCCACTCGAGAGCGCGCAGCTTGTTTCTAACGTGGACGCGCTCTGGGCTGAACCCTCCTCCACCTTCAGCCCAACATGAGGCTCCTCTGAGCTCCACGCTGGATCCTGCAGCGATCTGCTGAAGTTCTCAGGCTGCAGCGGGGTCAAAGTTCACCGGAGTCCAGGCACACCTGACCCAGGATGACAGACGGGTGATGAAGAAGGAATCATGCTCTCTACACACTGGATCCTCCTGTCCCTGCTCGGACTCATCCTGATCCACAAAGTAAGACTTTGTTATTCTCACAGCTTTATTTAATTATAATCTGGTGTCCTAGAATAATCCCAAACCTTTGATTTGTTCTTGGATCAAGTTTGACTTTATTCAGACTCACTTTTAAACCTTCTCTTCCTGCTGAAGCTTAAAACAATTCAAACCTTTAAACTAAACCAGCAGGTTTTTATTTTAATGAAACTAATTCCAGTTTTATTCATTTGCTTGCTTCTGCTTTAGTTTTGTGAACTGATTCATCTGAAGATCAGATTTGTTGCTTTTAGGGTTTTGAGACCATCGATAACTTCATTAATATTCATTTAAAAGATTCACTTCATGCTATTTTATGGAGTTCGTGGGGTTTTGTGGGATTTTATTACATCACAACCAATAAAATCTCGGATATTTCATCTTTTCTTTGCAACATTTCTGATTTTCTGTCATCCTGAAGCTTTGAGCCTGACTGAGAGCTGAACATTTAAGGTGGATCTGCAGGTTTAAGGTGGATCTGCAGGTTTAAGGTGGGTCTGCAGGTTTAAGGTGAACACATGAATCTGTGCTTCAGTCCTCTGTGGGCAGCAGAACGTTTTCATGTGGGTCGAGGTCAGGCCGGGGTCAGGATTTAAAATATTTAAACCTTAATTAAATCCTGAGAATTTCATCCTGGACCTCGGAGTGAATCTCCTCCATTAGACTAAATAAAATCAAACCGCTCATCATCAGCTCCTTTTTAGCTCCTCTGTTGTTTCTAACAAAAATGTAAACGTTGGAGACGGGAAACGTGGACGACCTCCGAACTCCGAACATCTGGAGCTTCATCTGTCATTGTTTATCTGAAGCCGGGAGGAATCTTTACATCCCAAAAGAGCATTTTTCTCCAGGAATAACGGCAAAGATCTCAACAACGAAACAAAACATCAACTTTGTTCATGAAGTTCTGCTTCAGGCTCGATTCTCCAAAGGAAAATAAACTAAAACAAAAGCTGGTTTCTGTTCTGAAGCAACAAGCAATCAAACTAAAGAAAAGTCAACAACCATCATTACAAGGTTTACACTTCACCTCCGTTGTTGCTCACTTGGATCTTGTCGGCTATCTCGAGACTGAATGTGAGAGGAGCACAGGAAGCTCCAGCTGTTTATTTTATTTATTTGTTTATTTGACTTATATTTTATGAGCTTGAGATGAAATCTAAATCTAAATAGTCATAATCAAATCTAAATAATTTGTTATTAACATGACACGTTTAAAGAGCAAGTCACCCCCTACCACAGTCTTACTCCACTCCCGTTTCCTGTTTGAAAAATGCAACAAATGCTTGCTGCCTGGCAGACCGAGAGGGCGGAGCCGCTAACACAAACACACACACATAGCCTCACAACTGCATTGTGACATCATAATGTACCAGCTAACGTTCTAGGGTACCTCTTAGCCAATAGTGATGCCAGATTTAAATTCAAATGCAGTGCAGAGTTTTTACCTGAAGAGGGCGCAACACTGACAGTTTTAAGCTGAACATCCATCCGTCCATTTTCTTCCGATTATCCGGAGTCGGGCGGTCGACGCAGCAGCCCAAGTCGAGAGGCCCAGACTTCCCTCTCCCCAGACACCTGGGCCAGCTCCTCTGGGGGAATCCCAAGGCGTTCCCTGGCCAGGAGAGAGACATAGTCCCTCCAGCATGTTCTGGGTCTAGCTTTAGGCCTTGTTCGGTTGGACGTGCCCGGAGAACCTCACCAGGGAGGCGTCCAGGAGGTATCCTGACCAGATGCCCGAGCCACCTCAACTGCTCCTCTCGATGTGGAGGAGCAGCAGGTTTACTCCGAGCCCCTCCCGGATGACCGAACTTCTCACCCTATCTCTAAGGGAGAGTTCAGACACCCTGCGGAGAAAACTCATTTCGGCCGCTTGTATCCACGATCTCGTTCTTTCGGTCACTACCCAAAGCTCATGACCATAGGTGAGGGTAGGAACGTAGACCGACCGGTAAATCCAGAGCTTCGCCTTCTGGCTCGGCTCTCTCTTCACCACGACAGACCGGTACAACGCCCGCATCACTGCAGATGCTGGCAGAATACTTAAATTTTAACTAAGATGCACTAAAGTGCTAAATTATTGGCTAGGCGTGTCTTCAGCACGATGAGACTCATTTATATAGTTTATCAGCAAATAAAGTTGATTTGGGGCGACTTGCTCTTTAAATATGTAGAATCAAATGTAAATGAGAAGAATTCCACATGGCTGTTTAAACGTGAATCTAAACGTTGTTTTAACGTTTGGAGTTTAGGGTCGGTGGGATTTATGAATGAATTTGCATAAAGAAATCCTTTAAAAGGAACCTTGGAGAACCGCTTCATGCTGCTTTTATTACAGCCTTCGTTCACATGTCAGCAGCATGTTTAGTTTTAAAGCACCGATGCATTTATTTATTCAGATATTAGTCATTTGGTGCAACTTTCTACAAATGCACAAAACTTTTCTACGTAAATATCTAAATGTGACCAAATGTTGCTGCTAAACAGCCAACTTCATGAAGCCATAGGAGTTTCTTCTTCTTCTTCTTCTGTGTATTACTTTACAACCGGCGCCCCATAGAAGGATGTTTGGGTGGTGGGCATGTGAGTCGGTCTGACGTGATCTACAGGAAGTGAAGGAAGTCAAAGAAATGTGTTCTAAACACGACGACAGCTCTGACAGGTGGGCAGTAAATCTCAATGTAAACAGACCTCCAGCACACACACACACACACACACACACACACACACACGCACGCACGCACGCACACACACACACACACACCATCAAAGACACTGTTTCTGAGTGTGTTACCCTTGGTTCATACTGTTAACCCAGCGGTGTGTGTGTGTGTGTATGCTCTGTTTGAGTGTGTGTCCTTGGTTACCATCAGCTGGACCAGAACCCATCCTTCAGGTGGCAACAGTAAATCTACATCCTGAAGAATCCTGACGGTTCTGGTGGCTCGGTGTCGTAACGCGCCTCCTCAGCAGAGCTGCGGTTCATTTGCGGGTCAGATAAAGAGCCGTCCCAGGCCTCTGACCGAGTCGAGCGTCTGTTCTGTCGCTGGGTTGGGTCTTAGAGTTCCTCTGATCAGCAGTCAGAGGGTCTCAGAAACGTTCCCGGATGAGTCCAGCTAACGGCTAATCCATGGTGTGGTCCTTCTGCACTCCCAAGTTAGAGTTTCTGGAATAACGGAACTTCCTAGAAACGGACCTCTGGCTGAAGGATGATGACTGTAATGAGTTTTCTTTATCTTTGGAATGAGACCTTTGCATGTTTTCTCGGTTTCTACGGTAACCGTGTGTCTGATGCTGCTCTCCTAAAACTGTCAGAAAAATCCCAACGCACCTAAACTGAGATTACACCTTCCATTATGGGATTATCTCTGGTTTTTTCCGTAAACAGACGCCTTTCACTTCATTTTCCCACAGAAGGAAAAAGGTTAGCATTGAGCCTCGCGCTGTCATCGACTCTGTGACGCCGTTTATTGCTTTTTACAAAGTGCTTCCAGAGAACAGCAGAACATTTGGTTGTGTTTAGCTGTCAGGATTATTCTGATGAGAATCCACTCAGATGACTTTATCTTTCCCAACTGGAAAGCTAAGGAGCAGAATGAGCTCACTGGGAGATCCTGACCTGCCGTTTATCACAAACGTCCTCCCTGAGCTGCAGTCAGAGGTGAGCAGGTCTCAGAAACATGAACCTTCCTCCAGAAAAGCTAAGCCTGAGAGCTGCTCAGACCTTCTGCTGGACGAGATGTTTGTTAGATTTATTTCCTGTGGTCCCGACAGGTTCATGGAAGGTTTCCTCGCTGCTGGCTGCACTGGGAGATGGAAAGAGCCCAGGCGGAGTGTCAGACTCAGCTACGGCACCAGAGGCTGGAGAACGCAGGTATGTGTGGCAAGGTTGAGAAAGGAGGGCCTGGGCGGGATTCGATCTCCAGACTCCCGGGTGAGAGTCACGCGCGCGAACCACTCAGTCAAAGGGACATCCCCTCGGCCAAGTAGCCAGGGCGCATGATCAATTGGGACACTGTGACAGGACGCTCACACTGTCACATATGAAAACAGCTAAAGCGGCTCTGGAACTGAGAGCCCACATTCATAAAAACGTGTTTACGTTTCAGCTTCGGTCATTTATTCACGAGTTCTCAGAACGTTCACAGAAAGCTCTCCTTATCTCATCAGCTGATTCTCACAAGCACGAACCAATAAGCAGTCAGGAAAACCGACGCTTGGTCCAGATGACCCGGTCCCGTCCGTCTACGGTGCAGGTGAAGAGCTGACCTCATCCTGGCATCGAAACCGACCTGCTGCATGTGTTTCCACACAAAGACGCCTTTCAGCTGCTTTATTTGTTCGGCGTGTTTGAACGTTTCACCACACTGATAACAAGCTCGTGCAAACGCGTTAAATCCTAAAGACACGCAGGAGTTTTAACACCTTTATACGGAAAAGACAGAAGCTCTAATGAACTTTTACACGATCTAAATCACAAGAACAAAATGTGAGAATAAAAAAGATTTAAAATGATAAAAAAAATAAGATTTGTGCTTTTTTACTTTTTAGAACATTTCAAACATTCAAATGTTAAAATTGTCCTCTAATGCACGAACCTTTTCGACGAAACACCTTAAATTTACACAGAATTTTATCATAAGTTCTTAAAATACTAAATTGCATCAAAGAGAAACTCAGGTTTATGGATACAAACATAAATTCCTGGAGATAATTTAAAAGGGACCTGCCCGCTGGCGCAAGGTAGCGGCCCCCTGCTGTGGTGGACACATGATGATGTTTGGGTGATGATGGGTGAAAAACCCACTCTTCCCACGGCCGAGCCACTTGCTTTATGTTTAATTTGTGTGTGTATGTGTGTGTGTGTGTGTGGGGGGGGGGGGGCTGGCTCGCTGCCGTTGGAGCCGCATTAACGTCCACAGAAGAAGAATAAAGGCCATTAATGTCTAAAACTCACCAGGTGCAGCAGCGGGCCTTAACAAGGTCAAATGAGAAATCATCACAGATCTGCTGATGAAGAGTCTGAAACAGGAAGTTCATGTTGGTTAATTCAATGTGTGTGTGTGTGTGTGTGTGTGTGTGTGTGTGTGTGTGTGTGTGTGTGTGTGTGTGTGTGTGTGTGTGTGTGTGTGTGTGTGTGTGTTTGCAGGATGTGAAGGCGAGTGGAACAACATCTCTTGCTGGAGAAGCGCTGCGGTTGGCGAGGTGCTGACGCTCCCATGCCCCTCCCCCTTTCTGCTGCTGTTTAGCAAAAATGGTTAGCACAACACACACACATGCACACCTACATACACACATACACGCCTACACACACACATGCACACCTACATGCACACCTACATACACACATGCACACCTACATACACACATGCACACCTACATGCACACCTACATACACACATGCACACCTACATACACACATGCACACCTACATGCACACATGCACACCTACATACACACATGCACACCTACATACTTACACACACATGCACACCTACATACACACATGCACACCTACATACACACATGCACACCTACATGCACACTTGCACACATGCAAACTTACACACACATGCACACCTACATACACACATGCACACCTACATACACACATGCACACCTACGTACACACATGCACACCTACATGCACACATGCACACCTACATGCACACTTGCACACATGCAAACTTACACACACATGCACACCTACATACACACTTGCACACATGCAAACTTACACACACATGCACACCTACATGCACACTTGCACACATGCAAACTTACACACACATGCACACCTACATACACACATGCACACCTACATGCACACTTGCACACATGCATACTTACACACACATGCAAACTTACACACACATGCACACCTACATGCACACTTGCACACATGCAAACTTACACACACATGCACACCTACATACACACTTGCACACATGCATACTTACACACACATGCACACCTACATACACACATGCACACCTACATGCACACTTGCACACATGCAAACTTACACACACATGCACACCTACATGCACACTTGCACACATGCAAACTTACACACACATGCACACCTACATACACACATGCACACCTACATGCACACTTGCACACATGCAAACTTACACACACATGCACACCTACATACACACATGCACACCTACATGCACACTTGCACACATGCAAACTTACACACACATGCACACCTACATGCACACTTGCACACATGCAAACTTACACACACATGCACACCTACATACACACATGCACACCTACATGCACACTTGCACACATGCATACTTACACACACATGCACACCTACATGCACACTTGCACACATGCAAACTTACACACACATGCACACCTACATACACACATGCACACCTACATACACACATGCACACCTACATACACACATGCACACCTACATACACACATGCACACCTACATGCACACTTGCACACCTACATACTTACACACACATGCACACCTACATACACACATGCACACACACATGCACACATGCACACCTACATACACACCTACATACACACATGCACACCTACATACACACATGCACACCTACATTTCGGTGATGCTGGGGAGTCTGGATGATGTTGGGGTGAGTAAAGCATTAATGAACACCTGCTGGCAGAGCAGCAGGCTCCTTAATTATGTTTTTGGTCAGAACAAGATTCACTTTTTGTTGTAACATATTTTAGTAATAATGTCTTATTTATAAAATTTTTATTTGTACACAATGTGAGTATTTTGTTATTAAAAACAGAGTTAATGGATTTATTTTAGTGTGTAAATCAGTCTTGACTTATTTCTGTTGTTTATATAAAATAAATCAACTAATTTCTTTGTCTTTGACCTTTTATCTGTTGGGATATTTCTTTTAAACTCTAATCCTTTAACAGTATTATGAGACAGAGAAATCCTTTATCCTCAGATTCCCAGTAATGGCATTTTCAGACACTTCTTGGTTCAAACAGCCCGATGGGTGAAACTCTGTAGTTTTTATTATTTATACTTTTACTAATTTTTATTTATTCTTTTATGAATAAAATCGGAAGGAGCCAACAATACTGTACCACAGTGGTTAGGGTCCTGCTGGCATCCAGCATGTTTTAATGGTTTCTCTGCTCTAACTTAGGGTCTGCAGGTGTGCTGAAACGAAACAGGGTTAAAACTAAAGCGTGTGGGATTGGTTTTATCTTTGGGTTATGCACCAATTTACACTTTAAAAAGCCCTGCTGTAGCTAGCACTATTTAGCTAGTGTGTTGTTGTGCTGCGTTTGAGTTCATTTATGGTCTCTTTTAATTCTGTGTTTTTATGTCTAAGTTTTTAACCTGAGCAGCACTTTGGTCAGCTGACACACTGTTTTTAAATGTGCTTTTACGAATAAACATGGTATTGTAACAACAAGCTAACACTAACACTAAAATAAACCACAAATAAAATTTCTAAACTATTTTTTTAAGATTTTAAAGACTTTAGCTCTTTTTAAATCGTAAATAATTTGTCTTTTCATAAACTCTGAACATTGATTGGTAATATAATATATATGTGTGTGTGTGTGTGTATATATATATATATATATATATATATATATATATATATATATATATATATATATATATATATATATATACCGGTATATATATATACATACCGGTATATATATATATATATATATATATATATATATATATATATATGTATATATATATATGTATATATATATATATATATATATATATATATATATATATATATATATATATATATATATATATATATATATATATATATACTGGCCTTATACACCAGTTGAATTATTCCCAATTAAGTAAATCATAAAATGTAAGTAAAGGTTTCAACCCAAGCAGTGTTATTTAAATACAGCATTTACCCATTCAACCTAACACTAGCTCTGTCTGAGCGCTAGCCGCTAACACTAGCTAGCCGCTAACGCTAGCTCTATCTGAGCGCTAGCCGCTAACACTAGCTCTGACTCAGATCTAGCCGTTAATGCTAGCTCTGACACTCATGCTATCTGTCGATCAAATCTAATTATTCATCATTTAAAGCATAATTACCTAAACAGAAGTTACGAAAACGTTACCCCTAGTTGTCATGACTGTAAACTTGAACTAAAACGGTTTTGGAACCAGGCTAAAACATGTTTAATTGCTAAGGAACGCTAGTCCCATAGCTACCAAGAGGGCCTAAATTTTAAAGCATGTGGGCTACAGGTACATTTTTGGTTTTGGGGAATTTGTATGACTCTCCTCAGAAGTTATTCAATTTAGACTTGATTTTCTTCCTAAACATCGACCACTTCAGCCCGATCCCCTTTAGGGTTTTTCCAGATGCGACAGATGTTTAATCTCACTTACATATGAGGACTCTGATCTAGCCTCTCTGCCAGGAAGTATTAAACCCTTTGTTTCCTGCAGGATGGTCTGCAGAGAGGGCTTTGGGATGCTTCCTCTCGCTGTCCACTCCATCATCCATGTACAGGGATCTGGGCTGGCTGTTACATCACTAAGACAGATTCAGAAATGTGCAAAGAGGAGACGGTTTACAGAATCACTAGTATATGCGACTCATCAGCAAATAAAACAAGAGTGTGTTTTAATTAAATTGAGATTCGTACATGAATGGCTTTCCTGTTAACAGTAGTGGTGGTCAGGTGGCATGTCCCCCATGACAGAGCACCGCTGCATCTCTCATCGTCTGCAGCATCTTCCTCAGGGCGATGATGTCACCAGCACCGATGTTGTGCAGAATGATGCATGCTGACCTGTAATAGAGATAAATTATTACGTTTAAAACACACGCAAATATTCTGCAGTACATTGGTTCTGTTTAAAGAAAAGCAGAGAATAATAAATTTTGATATTTTTAGAAGCGCTACCAGGCATACGGTAAATAAACAAATGCACATAGAAAATAATTCAGTGCTCTTTTATTAACTTTAAAAAATGCGTTTTTAATGTTTCTACATCCTCTTTACAGCCCGACAAGCCATCCAAGAGCAAACTCACTTAGCTTTGACAAATGTTGGTCCAGACTCTAGGCTAGAAGTTCTGGTTAACGTAAGAAAACGTCCTGCTGTTCTCAACATTTAGGTCTGTCCTGGGCACGCTGACCAGAGACCAAACCGATTTCTAACATAACCATTTATTTAACACTGAAGTGACTTGTGTGTGTGTGACGTGTGTGTGCACTCGTGAGTGAATCCATGGAGCGTGCCAAACAGCCTCAGATGAAGCTAAAACCTTCTGGAGTCAACCTGATTCAAGATGGCTGCCACGACTAACGAACACCGGTGAACACACAAATGTCTGGAACGCCGTCGTTTTCACAGACGCTGAGATGGAAGTGGGTGTGTTTGTAGCTGAGCCTCGACCTTTGACCCTGGACAGGTGTGATCCTGGGGGACAGGTGTGATCCTGGGCCTGATGGTGTTGAGCTCTCTGGAGGGTTGTGGGGTTTTTGGACTGTGCAGCCACCGTACACAGCTGTGTTGATGTGCTGAAGCTCCACCCGCTCTGACATCCCTGCTTAATTATGCATTCTTGACTCTGTTGTTTGTGCTCCAGGTTACCTGAGCAGGAACTG